CCATTAGTTATTAGAAAGGGCTCTGAAAGAGCATCGCCGTATCTGACTCTTGTATAAATGTCCCTTGTATAAAATAGTAAAATCAAGGTTTGCTTTGTGGATTTTTGTGGGGAGGGGAAAAATATTTTCAAGCTATGGATGATTAAATCTGTGGATGCAGAATTTGTGGATATGGAGGGCTGACTGTAATATCTAACAACATATTCTTTATATATCCTGTCTGGCTTCCTGTTTGTAACATATATGCTTGCATAACACACGCATGTTTCTCATGTGCAATAACCCCCAGGCCCCTGAAAACTCATCTGGTTCCCAGGGGCCCAATAAGACATCTGTTTTGTAGCTGGTGGAGAGCAGGCAACAGTGGAGAAGCATCCAGCCTGGATAGGTGCAGTGTGTCCCATTGACCACATGTCACCCCAGACACCTTGCCAGTGCCCCAAAGCCCACAACCCTCCATTAAAAAAAAATATCCAGTGCAACTTTAGGGCAATTTTTGCCCTAAAACCATGCAGAAAGCCTCCTAAAATGCACAAAAGCTTGCAAAAATTCCTCCACTTCAACCCCACAGTCATCCCAGGACCTTGTATTACCTTCAAATACCTTTGTTTCCCACTGCAATCACGCTCAAAATGGCAACAGAAAGAGACATGCCTTAATTCCTGTGGGCCATTTTGAGAAGGTCTGCATTGGAAATCTCTAGCGGTAGGCACAGTATTTCGGAGTGCTGTTTCATGAAAGGGCAACAAATTACTATTTAATTTATGGTGGCTGCTTTTGGGTTTCTTTTTGAGTTGAGGCACTAGTAAGATTTTCTGTTTTAAGCACCCAAAATACTTTGGCTGACCTACAGTACCTTGACTTTGGGGCTGGGGCATCATTTGTTCTTTGGCCTCAGTCAGCCAAATGTTTGGGCTGGCCTTGGTCATTGCATTGTCTTGCCTGCTGAAGGCATAGGGTTTGGTCAGTATGGCCCACATGAACATTTCTGCCAAAATGGAAGCCAAGACAATGGTTGCTGTGGCAGCAACTGAACAAACCCAGATGGTTGTGCTTCATTGTGATGTCACTGGCAAGAGAGTCCTTACCAGTGCTATGAGCCATTATATTTTTCAGTCCTCCAGGGGCTCACAGTGAAAACTTGGAGGAAAAGGACAGATCCAGTACTCCATGTTGAGATATAACACTTAGGTTAGACAACTACAATGTGTTGTACATGAGGTTGCCCTTGAAGACTTCTCTCAGACTTCATTTGGTTCAACAGTGCTTCCCAAGATACAGTTCCTAATTCCACTATTCAAAAGGTATTGTTGAGCACTTTTTCTCTCTTTCTTTTCTTTGTTGTCATCTGCCTTCAAGGTGTTTTCGTCTTATGGCGACCCTATAATGGGGTTTTCTTGGCAAGTTTCTTCAGAGGGGGGTTGCCATTGACATCCTCTGAGGCTGGGAGTGTGTGACCTGACCAAGATCACCCAGTGGTTTTCCATGGCTGAGCTGGGATTTGAAACCAAAATCCTAGTCCAGTGCTCAAACCACTACACCACATTGGTTCTCTCTCTTTTCTTCGTACTGGATTTTTTTTTTTTTTTTTGGTGGTGGAAAGATGAATCAAAGTGATTGGATAAACCCCAAGCCTTGTCTGGAAGCATCTATCTGCCCCAACGGAGCTGCTAGAGTAAAAATATCTCACAGCAGTGATCTTAATCTCTCATTCAGCAGACTTCAAACTGTGGATAATTCCCCTTAAAGGAGAGCTTTAAAATGTCACTTTTTTGGAATTACAAATCCTAGTACTCCATTGCTAGGGGATTCTGGAATCTGTCATCCAACATGGCATCTTTTTCAAAGTCTGCTTTAAAGTCATTAAGAGTTTGAGACCGTAGTCTCTGAAAGACTGCCTTCTTCAACACCAGCTCAGCCAAACATTGCTATTTTCACCAGATGTCCTCCACCAAGTCTTCCCTGCTCTCTGAAGCTAGGGCTTCCTTGGTTACGGCACCTCACATGTGGAATGCCCTCTTGGGAGGGACACACCCAAAACTAAATGTAATATCTTTATGTGCCATCAAATTGACTTTGACTTATGGTGACCCTATAAATGGGAGATCTCTAAGAGCATTATTACCCTGCTCAGGTCTTGCAAACTCTGGGCTATGGCTTCCTTGATGAGTCTAGTGAGCCTTCCCCTTTTTTCCTGCTGAAATGAGAAGAAGACTAAGAATGGGGAGGGCAGCTATGAAAGAACTAGAAAAGATTTTAAAATGCAAAGATATACAACTCAGCACAAAAGCTAGAATCGTACAAGCCATTGTATTCCCTATTACCACGTATGGATGTGAGAGCTGAACAGTCAAGAAAGTTGACAGATAGAAAATCAATGCATTTGAGATAATGTGGTGCTGGAGAAGAGTGCTGAGGATCCCATGGACAGCCAAAAGGATAAACAAGTGGGTCCTAGAGCAGATCAAACTGGAAATCTCTCTGGAAACCAAAATGACCAAACTGAGGCTGTTGTACTTTGGATACATGAGAAGAGAGGACTCATTGGAAAAAACAATAATGCATGGAAAGGTGGAGGGAAGTAGGAAGAGAGGAAAGCCACATGCCAGATGGATGGATTCTATGAAGGAGGTCACGGGTATTGAGGGATTGCAGGAAATAAGCAGAGCAGTGGAGGACAGAGGGTCTTGGTGATGTCTCATCCATAAGGCAGTCAATAACAACAATTCTATTTTACCAAGTATTATCATGTTTTCTGATGAATCATGTTG